CAAGCTTCTGCTTCATACTGTGTTCGAATGGACCCAGTGAGGCGAGGACCACATCTGCTTTGCCCTTAACCCACTAAGCGAAGGCCTTAAAGGGCAAAGCCTGTATGAAATAGAACGTTGGTTACGTACTGTAACCCCAGATTCTATGAGTATAGGCGTAGCCCTTTAAACGTCGGGCCTCACTGGCTCCTAAATGGCTGAAGAAAAAGCTATTTTGGGAGCCGATTTCCCGCTCTTAACGTAATTTATACGGACCGGGTGGGGCCCACACAGCAGGTGGGCGTGGACTAAATTTTTCAGTGCTAATGCTACGCATATCGGGATAAACCCACTAAGCGAAGGCCTTAAAGGGCTACGCCTATACTCATAGAATCTGGGGTTACAGTATGTAACCAACGTTTTAATTAAGACAAGAAGTTTCTAAAGAAAAAAAAACTGATGAGCTTGTCAGCAGGTAAGGGGCGTTTACCTTCAGGACAAATTGAGGTCGTCGATTGGTCAGTTACTGACACGCCTTCTGAGTTGATTGACAGGTCGCACCGTCGAGGATCCGATTTTAAAAAAATACCAAAAACAACCTGAGAGCTGCAGCAGCCGCGCTGGGAGGAGACGGGGCTGCACAAATACAGCGGAAGCGCAGCAGTTTCTTTGCAGCGCAGAGCTCCAAGTAAAGCAAGGTAAACCTTAGAGATCATGGGCCCCTGGGCAGTTGCCCAGTTGCCCATATGGTTAATCCGGCCTTGAACACAGCAACATGCAATGTCTGCAGAGCTGCTGTACAGAGAGGAGGAAGCTCGGTCGACCTACGACACATCAAACTTAACAAACATTTGAAAAAGCACCACATTAAAGAGCACGAGGATTGTTTAGCCGAGCACCGCGGTAAAGTTAGTTTTACGTTGGACGTTGGAGCTCCGTGGCTTCAGCGGTGTGTTCCTCTCGTTCAGTCCGAAGCAGACAGTCTGATTTCAGTCCGTCTGTCTGGAGGAGACTGAACGTGGCTGACTGAATCAGACTGTCTGCTTCACAGCTTGATTGAATACTTGCAGCCAAGATATAGTTTATGTTTACCCTCCAGGAGAGATTTATCAGTACAGCAGTAGACAATCATAAAAAAGCATGAATTGAAAAATAAAAGAAAATTATAAAAACAAAATGAAACAAAAACAGCTACATTTAAAACGATGTAAAAACAGGAACATGTCTGTTGGTTATTGACATGAACTTAGCAGAAGTTTGAACTCCATTCAATCACTTTAAAATCCACTTTAAAACTAGGAAAAAAAACATGTTTTGTGTTAACAAGATTTAATTCTAACTAAAACTTATCCAACATTAATAAAACTTACCTCAAGTTGCCTTTTTGGACATGCATGCATATATTTGTACAAATTGTACTTGAGAGGAGATTATTACAGCCTCGTACAAAATCAATGATGATCATGATATTGGAATAGTATCGGTATCGGCCGATATTCAGATTTAGGTATCAGGATCGGATAAAAAAAAAAAAGTGGATCGGTGCATCCTTAGTAGTAAGTAGTAGTTTATTTTAGTATATATATTTTAGGGGTGTAACGTGGGTGTATTAAACTGTTTCGGTACAGCATGTTCGGTCCGGTCTGCACCGTTTTGGTTATTTTTTCACTCATTAAATTTTATTAATGACGGACAATTTATTTTCACAAAGATGGCCTCCTTTACTTCTCTCTCAAACCATCGTTCCTCTCTGTCCAGGATGTGAACATCTTCATCCCTGAAAGAGTGACCGCTGGCCTGGAGATGAGTGTAGACCGCAGAGTCCTGGCCTGATGATGTTGATCTTCTGTGCTGGTCCATCCTTTTGGCCAGTGGCTGTTTAGTTTCCCCAATGTAAGACTGATCACCCTCCTGACACTGAACAGCATACACAATATTACTCTGTTTGTGCCGGGGGACTGGATCTTTGGGATGAACCAGTCTTTGCCGTAATGTATTTTGGGGTTTAAAAGCCACTGGGACGTTATGTTTAGAAAATAAACATCTCAGTTTCTCTGATACCCCCTCAACATACGGAATGACCACTGGTCTGGGTCTGGGTTCCTCCTTTTCACCTGTTGGCTGACTGGAGTCCTGTTTGGGTTTCTTCTCTGCTTTCAGGAAGGCCCAGTTAGGATATCCACATTGCTCTAGAGCCTGTCTTGTGTGGGATTTCTCCTTCTGCCTGGCCCCAAGCTAGTGGGGACGCTGTCTGCTCTGTGATACAGAGTCCTGTTGACTCCTAACTTGTGCTCCAAAGGGTGATGGGAGTCAAACTGCAAATACTGGTCTGTGTGGGTGGGTTTGCGGTACACCTCAGTTTGCAAATGTCCTCTATCAGAGACTGAGACCTCACAGTCCAAGAAATCCAACTTGCCATTTTTTACATCTTCTCGTGTGAACTTGATGTATTTATCCACAGAGTTGATGTGGTCAGTAAAATGTTGGACTTCCTGAGATTTAATTTTAACCCAGATGTCGTCAACATACCTGAACCGATGACTTGGTGGTGTCCCTGAAAAGGACGTCAAGGCTCTTTTCTACCTCCTCCATGTACAGGTTGGCAACAATAGGAGAAACTGGAGACCCCATAGCACACCCATGTTTCTGTCTATAATATTGCTCCCCATATGTGAAGTAGGTTGACTGCAGGCACAGTTTCAAGAGTTGACATAGTTGTTCTGTGGAAAGCGTGGTCCTGCTGCTCAGAGTGGTGTCTGATTTTAATCTTAAACTGACCACCTCTACTGCATCATCAACAGGAATGCACGTAAAGAGTGATGTGACATCAAAAGAGACCATTGTTTCATCAGTCTCCATGATGACATCCCTCACCTTGTCCACAAAGTCCATGGTGTTCTGTATGTGGTGTTCTGAGCTGCCAACTAAAGGGATGAGTACAGACGCCAGATATTTGGAAACATTGTAAGTGACAGAGTTAATTATGCTAACAATTGGTCTTAAAGGTACACCTTGTTTGTGGATTTTAGGTAAACCATACAGACTAGGTGTGGCCTCCCCTGGGTACAGTCTGTGGTACAGAAAACGGTCAATAGCCTTGTCCTGCTCCAAAATTTTCAGGCAATCTATCAGTTTCTTCTTGTAACCACTTCCTGGATCTCTTTTCAGAGGTTCATAAGTGTTTAAGTCACTAAGGAGTGTCATAACTTTCTCATGATAGCCTTTCTGGTTCAAAATCACTGTGCAACTTCCTTTGTCTGCTGGGAGAATGATGATGTTTTTGTCCTTGCTAAGAGTGGTGAGTGCATCCCTCTCCTCTCTCTACTGATGTTGGAAGGTGGTGGTTTGGCATTGCTGAGGCAGGATGAAACTTTGATTCTGAGCTGTTCTGCTTCACCCTCTTTGTGGGTGGGTGGGTGAAGTGGGTGAAGAATTTATCTGACAGACAGCTCACCCAGCCGGAGACAGAGATTCTTGCCAGGGGACTGAACTTTGCGGTTGCACCAAGTAGAATTCCTCTGGTGGAGATGATCACAGCCACAGAATCAGCCATCCGCAACAACAAAATGAAAGAGGGTATATATATATATATATATATATATATATATATATATACATACAGTAATCCCTCTCTACTTCGAGGTTTGTTTATCGCAGACTGACTCTATTGCAGTTTTTCAAAATAAGATTGGACATGACACATGGCTGATTGATGGATGGGCTGCATTTGTCTGGGGCAATTTTAATTGCCTCAGACAGCATAGATCTAAGATCATTCAGGAATACAAACTCCTCCATCATGAGAAGGTGGCGATTCAAGGAGGAGAAAAAAAAAAGTGAACTTAATTAAAAAAATTAGACAAATATTCTTGAACAGTTCTGCTGAATGCTGGAATTGGAAACTAACTTCAGACTGGTTGGTTCATGGTTTGAATGATAACAGTCAGACATAAGCTGTTTTAATAAGTTGTGTGCATGAGTTTTATAAATGATGTGAAAGTAATAGACAGTGGTAAGGTATGGTATGTGATAGCTAGAATAAATTCTGTTCTGAACAGCTTCTCATACAGTAAAGGGATTTTACACACAAATCATCGTCACATGAAGTTTTCTCTCCTCTTTATTTGTAAATGTTGGTTATAACAAATATAATAATTATTAAAGATAATATCACAACAAAATGGAGACCAGCTCCAACAAACTAAACAATTTCTTAATCTGCCAGCAGATCTTTGAGGGGTTTTCAGTGTCACAGCTCTGAACAGAAGTGACTTTTCATTATCACACCATGTGTTTGGTGCCAGTGGCCGAACGTACAACGCTGTCCATTTCTTATTTTTGTTACCTTTGTTACTTTTGAAAGAAGGAATCTTAAGACGCTAGCACATAAATGTAAAATAAAATAAATTTATCCCTTAAGTTTGGTTAAAGGTCCAGTTTTAGCTGTCCTGGTTTAGACGGGTGTGGTCCATGGGCGGAGACGGTTACAGTTGTGTTCAGACTCCGTTTTAAGCTTCAGACAAGAACTCCATTACAGATTTATGTTTCCATGAAATTCAGTTCATTGATTTATGCTCCACTCAGGACAAATATTTAAACAGGGTCTTTGTCACAAATAAACCATGTCAGGTCTGGTATTGTGCCTGTCAACCTCCAGAAAAAAGAACAAAATAACATAACAATCATGTTTCTGAAGTGACACACACCAAAGTGTAAGTGTACTGATGGATTTTCAGTATGTTGTTTTACCGATGAAGATTTATACTTTTATATTAGTCATAAAGGTTTATTACCTTTAACTAAGAGTTTTGGGGCTTTTTAGTTGCCAGTGCATCCCCTTTGTGTTAGCAACTAATTAATTTATAAACAGTTAAATTAATTAATTAAGCAACTAATTAATGACTGTTGTAGAAAAATTGTTTAGATATTAAACAGCCACAGAAACAACAAAATAAACAAAGACTCGGAGCATTGTGGGACACCAATGTAATGTCTCTTTAACCTTCAGAGGGGGAAGAGGAGGAGTTGTTATTATTCAAAGTCTCTGAGTTTTGTCCTTTTCTTTGTCTTTGCCATTTCAGTGTCTTCTTGTCTTCTCATGTCTGTCTTTCTCTGTCCTCCTCACCCTGGTCTTCTGCCTTTGCATCTTCCTCGTCCTGCTGCAGGGCAGTGAAGCGTTCCACCACGCAGTGAGCAGTCAGCCTGGCCTCGGGGTCATGATCCCAGCACTCTGTGATGGTGGAACAGAAGACGCTCATCCCCTGAAGGACATATATGTGGTTAGAGCATCTTCAGAGGACAGAAACTATAATTATTTAACAACACACAGACCAAAAATATGCATGCTAGTTTAAATGTTCCCAGGTGTGAGTGAGAGAGTGAATGGTTGTTTGTCTATACATGTCCCTTTGATGGACTGGAGACCTGTCCAGGTGTCCCTGTGATGGACTGGAGACTTGTGCTGGTGTCCCTGTGATGGACTTGTCCAGGAGTCCTGTCCAGGGTGTCCCCGCCTCTCACACAGTGACTGCTGGACATGGGCACCAGTGACCCCCGTGACCCGAAAAGGAAGAGGCGGGTAAAGATAATGGATGGATGGATGGATGGATGGATGGATGGATGGATGGATGGATGGATGGATGACATCATGCAAATACTTTATACATGATCCTTGGAGACACAAAGTCCTTTGTTTTCATTTTAAAGAAGAAGAGTTACCTTTAAAACCAATCTTGTTGCAGTTTGTCTTTTCTTCTCATTTTGTGTTGTTGTCTAGTTACAAGCCATCTTTGCAGTTTATTCTCCGGATTATTGAGCATACATCTGGATATGTTTGTAGTGTTTGACTAGTTCCACTGAGACCCTTCTTTTTTAAATGTTGTGGTCTAATTGTTTTGTAAGTCCAAGTGATTATTTTGTCTTAGTGGTCATTCATGTCTCTGGCTTCATCTCTTCCTTTATTTCTGCTAGATTTTTCTCTTTCAAGTCCTTTTGACACAGTGTTTTGTTCTCGTGATGTCCTTCTGAGAATCACTGATGTCTCTATCACTCATCTTATTTCAAGCTCATGCAAGGTGACAGTGGAGCAGTGGTTCGAACAGTCGCCTCACAGCTTCAAGGTCCCTAGTTCACTGCCTGGCTGGACCTTCCTGAGTGGAGTTAGCATGTTCTTCCTGGGCATGTGTGTGTTTCACCTGGGCACACCTGTTTCTTTTCAGGGTAATAGTAAGGATAGCTGACAACTCTAAACTGTTTCTAGGTGACAGTATGAATGGTTGGATGTCTTGCTTGTCTCTGTTTTGTCCTGTGCTGGACTGGCGACCCATCCAGAGTGTTTCTAACGTCTCGCCCAATGACTGCTTGAGATAAGTACTAGCTCCCCACAACCCTGTGCAGAACATGCATGGACAGACACAAACAGCACCCATCCAGCTTGAAGGACCTGGAGCAGTTTTGTCTTAAAGACAAAAACTTAGATGTGCCAAGATCACGGAGACAGACCCAGAGAGAAGTGTTGCTTATAATTTTGCATTAAATATAAAATTTTATAATGGTAGCACTGAAATAAAGATGTTCTGAGACAGTGTTTCCATGTGAGAATAAAAAGCACAATAATAAATAGACTATGTGATAGAAAAATAAAATATATTTTTCATGAAACGTAGTGCTGGAGCTCTGTCGTGTATTTCAGATTGGTTCTGACCTGGTGCTGCGTCCACGTTGAGGGGATGTCCGGTCGTCCTCGGTCCCTCAGTACCAGGTCTCTCATGCTGTCCACGCAGGGCTGCTCACAAACCTTTGAGCCAAACACCGGTTCATAGCTCTTCACCTCTGCGTTGACACAGAGAGACTTTCTCACAATCAGATCTCGTAAATCCATCTTGAAATTTCAGTGGCTGAAATGATCTGTTCATGTTTTAGGATCAGAGCTGCGTTCCTGCCACCATCAGGCAGATTTACTCTCCAGAAAAAATGATGGGAGGATCCTTCTCATTAAATGAGGTTTTAAAATGGTGCTGGTCTGAAAAACAGATTAAACAGAACTTTGTACTGAGAACAGCTCAGAGAAGAACTTCTTTAAATTCACAAGAATGAAGTCAGCTCTGAGGTTGCTTCATGTTTCAAAGCACGACACTGAGCCACTGTTCCCTTCACCTCAGGCCTACTTTATTAAATGAACTCTACAAGCATCATAAGACTTCATGGTTCAGCTGATTTAATTTACTTTGTTAACCTTTATTTAACCAGGCAAACCCCACTGAAATCACTGATCTCTATATAGTGGTGGCCTGGAGGCAGCCCAGCATGCAGGTTTTAGTCTGTAGGAGAAAACCCAAACATAAGGAGAACAAACCCCGCACAGGTTCAAACCGGGGCTTGGACCCAGGACCTTCTTGCTATGATGCAACAGTGCAAACCACTAATCCACCCTGCTGCCCAACTACTTTAACTTCACTGAAATGTGATAAAACAATTTTAAACAGTCAGAATTGCTTCTTGAGTCAGGAGAACTAATTAAACCCTGACACTGACCAAACTACTACAAAAAACTTTTGAACGTTTTTAACAACCATTTAAAACCAAAGTTTACTATCACTCCCTGAATATCTGTAACAGTTAGTCCAGGCCTGTGTATAAACTCACATGCATCAGTGCATTCTCTGCTTGATAAAATAAAAAGGATTCCATATTTGGGTTATGTTTCCATCATTTTAAGTTTGTTAAAATTAGGCCACAGGAAAAGTGCAGCTCTGTGTAAGTCGTGGATAATGATTTTGTGCTCCAGTACTTCAACATGTCTGTGGGCACAAACACCTGCTGTGCAGCAGAGCATGGTGGGCGGGGCCATGCATAATTGTTGCGCAATGCGCCGCCAGCGCTGCTCTCTTCTCTGATTAACTTCTGCACTTTATTTTATTTATTTCCATTCCTCCTCAGTAAACTTTCTGCCTCCTCCTCTAAGTAGATTAACACAATGTTATATCGTGCGTTCTTATTTAGTTTTATTTGTGCTGTATGATTCATAAAACTGCATCAAAGACCGGCCCGCATATTAATCACATTAATATGGACTGACCCGGCCCTAAGCTGGGTCGGGCCGGGCCGGGCCGGGTTCCGGGTTAGAAATGACAGCTCTAGTCTGAAGGAGCGCTGTTATAATTCAGGGGACAGGATTGTGGAAGTGCCTTGATATCTCCATAAAAAGGGCAGCACGGTGGCACAACTGGTAGAGCTGCTGCCTCTCAGCGAGCAGGTCCCTGGTTCAAATCCTGGTCATGGGGCCTTTCTGGGTGGAGTTTGCATGTTCTCTCCGTGCATGCGTGGGTTTTCTCTGGGTACTCCAGTTTCCTCCCACAGACCAAAAACATGCATGTTAGACTGACTGGTAACTAAAATGTCCCTAGATGTGAGTGAGAGAGAATGGTTGTTTGTCTCTTTGTGTCCCTGTGATGGACTGGAGACCTGTCCAGGGTGTCCCCCGCCCCTCGCACAGTGATTGCTGGACACGGGCACCGGTGGGTGACCCCCGTGACACAATGGAAGAAGCGGGTAAAAGATAACGGATGGATGTTAGGAAAGTATGATGCCATGTGAAGAATGTCTGATGTTTTTTGTTTTCGGTTTGTGGATGGTTCAAGCCTGAGTTGTTTGATTTTAATTATTTTATTTTATTTTTTTAATTAGGGACAGATATTATAAGAATTTTCTTCTTCTTTCAGCACACTTTTTATTCAATAATTTTCTCTTTTTGATGAATATGTTTTGTTTCTTTTAAATGAATAAATAAATCTTTCAAAAAGATCTGAAGCTCTCGACCTTTGACCTCTCTAGTGGCTTCAAACATCTGCTACGTTCCTGGCGACAACCAACGCAGACATGTTCCTGTTTTGAGTTTTCTGCATCGCCTTACAACCTAGCTGGTTTTTTGTTACATTTTCTTTTTAATACCATTTTATTTTCACTTATTATTCTCAGTTTGTATGCATCCTAAATGACTGTCCACTGTTGTCATCACTCTTTGTTGAGATCAGGTCTCTGCTGTAAATGAGTCCCTGAGGCTCAGTGGGATGAACTTGTCTAAATGAAGGTTGACTGAATGAAAAAGGAAATTGTCACCTCCAGTTGCTTCACAGCGAGAGGCCATCTCCCATAGGACCAGAGCCATGGAGTAAACATCCATCTGCTTGAAGGCCTCAAGGTCCTCCAGGTTCACCCTGGACTCCAGTACCTCAGGAGCCATGTAGCGAGCTGTTCCTACCTGAGCAGGATAACAAAATGTGGTCCAAAGAATTAAAAAACACTCAAAAACAACAAGTTGTGATTACACAAATAAGCCTGAACTTTACAGCCTCTAGATGAAAAACATTTGTTCAGGAAGAATTAAAGTTTTTGGATCATACAGGACCAGTTCACTGGCCTAAGAACAACTTGAGGTACTGTAGTTCAGCAGTTTTGTACTAATAGTATTGTAGCAGAGTTACACTCAGTTCTTACACCTGCTCACAACAGACTCATGTTCTGGCTGCTGTTTAATACACGTATCATGTGACATTATTACTGTTTAGCGTATATCTTAGATCCTGTTTGTTTTTATACTTTACATTTTTGCTATTTTGTGTGCAACTGGAACCTTGAGTACACAATTTCATTCCACCTCATGTACTACATGTGATGCGAATGACAATAAAGAAGCTTGAACAACTTTTATTTATTGGGTGGTCAATAACGCGCTGGCTTGTGTTTTAGACGGATCTGACGAGTGAGCCTTGGATCTTCTAAACCCTTCTGCTGCTTGTTCTGTGGGTCTCCCTCAAACTCTACTTGGAAAAAGAAACCAAAGACCTACAACAGCTCCAGCTTTGGAGTCTTCCATCGTTGTTGATATTAAATGTCGTGCAAAAGTCACGTGGCCGTGCTGATCTCCAGCTCAGTGTTGTTCAATCACTGCATTTTCCTGGCCATGTGAAAGCAAACATGTAGGTCCCTAAAGCTTCTTCATGGAGGGACTAATGATTTATAAAACTCTCAGAACGTCTTTTGAACTGTTAGGTCCAATGGGACTTGTTCTGTTATCTAACTGTAGCTGCACTGACTCAGATGACCTCGTTCTTAAGGCAATGTGACTATCCATCCATTTCCTTTACCCGTTTATTCCATTTTGGGTCACGGGGGTCGCTGGTGCCCATGTCCAGCAAATTGCAATCACTGTGCGAGGGGCGGGGTACACCCTGGACGGGTCGCAAGTCCATCACAGGGACACATAGAGACAAACGAGACAAACAACCATTCACTCTCTCACTCACACCTAGAGACAATTTAGAGTTACCAATCAGCCTAACATGCATGTTTTTGGAC